GAGGGAAGCTTCCTAGTTACATTCACTTATTTAGGGGAATAATGTCTACTTATTTAATGGAATGAAAACAAGGGAGAGGGTGAGGTTGTGGGGGAAGGTGTTTCGGCCTATTAGGGAGGAAAAAGGATGGTGGGTTTTGGGCCAATGCATACAGCCACTAGGAGGAATAAAAGGGTGTAAATTAGGAAGTCCTTTGGCTTGATGTAATGAATGGTATATGGGTATTCCTTGGGGGGGTGGTTCGGCCATAGTGTGGGGAATAAGGGGGAACATGAGACTTGATTATTTGGCTGGACATGGGGACTCTTTTGTGGTGGTTTTTTGTGGGTTATGCACGGCCAAGGTGGGGAGCAAGGAAGGAGGAATATGGCAGGCTTATTGGCTTCACATGAATTGGGTTTTTTTTGTGAATAATGAACCAATATATGCTGAATTGTCCTTGTCTTGTTATAGTTGTTTATTCAGCTTGGTTGGGGAACATAAGGGGGACCACTGCTAGTACATGTTGGGGATATAATGGGTTGGGTTTTGGCTCTTAGTTTTCGGCCATTCAAGGGAAAAGAAAGGGTTTGTGGTTTTAGCATGTGGTTTGAAATGTGATGGGGTGTTGTGGGGGTGTGTGGGTTCGGCCAAGGTAGAAGAAAAGGGGGGGCTGACTTGGGTTTGATTTGGATATTTGGGGGCCCGTTCCCACGTCAATGCAGCAAGTTAGAAGTTTTCATGGACTTGCATCTTTCTACCGGCAATTTGTGAAGGATTTCAGCACCATAACTGCCCCCCTCACGGATTTGACGAAAAATCAGAAGTTTGAATGGAATCCTAAAGCCCAAAAAGCCTTCGAAGCAATCAAGGAACGCTTAACACATGCTCCCGTGTTAGCCCTTCCTAGTTTTGAGAAACTATTCGAGGTTGAATGTGATGCCTCGGGAGTTGGCATAGGGGCTGTCCTATCCCAAGAAGGACATTCGATGTCGTACTTTAGCGAAAAGCTAAATGATACAAGAAGACGGTATTCTACCTATGACAAAGAGTTCTACGCTTTGGTACGATCTCTTGAGCATTGGCGTCATTATCTCATAAGCAAGGAGTTCATTCTTCATTCCGATCATGAAGCTTTAAAATACATCCAGGGGCAGCATAAGCTTCGACCCCGCCATGCAAAATGGGTCGAATATATCCAAACCTTCACCTTCACCATCAAGCACAAAAACGGAACCATGAACAAGGGCGCCGATGCCTTGTCCCGGAGACATTTGCTACTAACGGTACTTAGTACCAAACTTGTTGGTTTTGAATTTTTGCAGGAGCTTTACAAGGAGGATGATGACTTCAAGGACACATATTCTAAGTGTCTTTCTCGGCCCTATGGTGACTTCCTCATAAAAGATGGTTACTTATTCCGTGGTAACCAATTGTGTGTCCCAAAGTGTAGTGTTCGTGAGACCCTCATTGACGAGATCCATGGTGGCGGCCTAGCAGGTCATTATGGTGTCAACAAAGCCTACGTGATGATGAAGGAACACTATTTTTGGCCCAAGATGGAACGAGATGTGGAACACTTCGTCAAACGCTGCCATACTTGTCATCTAGCCAAAGGACATTCCTTGCCGCAAGGAAAGCATCTCCCACTGGCCGTCCCTCTTGCCCCTTGGGAAGACATTAGCTTGGACTTCATCACCGGGCTGCCTAAGACGCAACGGGGCAATGATTCTATCATGGTCGTAGTGGACAGATTCTCAAAGATGGCGCACTTCGTACCTTGTGTCACCACCTACAACGCGTCGCAAGTAGCTGATCTCTACTTCCGAGAGATAGTCAAACTCCATGGCGTTCCCCGAAGCATGGTCTCGGATAGGGATACAAGCAAGATACTACCGCTGATTCCACTACAGAAGCAGAGTTCATGGCTGCAGCTGAGGCAGCCAAGGAAGGTATGAGGCTCAAGAATTTTATTACTGAGCTTGGAGTGGTTCCTAGCATCAAGAACGCTATACCGTTGTTTTGCGACAACAATGCGGCAATTGCACAAGCAAAAGAACCTCGGTCTCACCAGAAGACCAAACACATCGTTAGACGTTATCACATCATACGAGAAATCGTTGCACGTGGGGACGTTGAGATTTGCAAGATAGGTACAGACGACAATATCGCGGATCCGTTGACGAAGGCTTTGGGAAAGCCTAAACACGAGAGTCATACGTGGTCCATGGGCATTCGAGAAATGCTTGATTGGCCTTAGGGCAAGTGGGAGATTGTTGTATTTAGGTGCCCTAGCGGCAATCAAATACCTATGTAACTGTACACTTTATCATGAATGAAAGGCCTTGAAGTATGTTTTATATCTCGTGTAACATAACATAGCTTCAGTCCATAGACGATAGCGCTTCAGTAACATAGATGAGGACTACGATGTTCTGATTATGAGACTGTTACTTCTTGACGAAGGCTATGTCTAGAATATCCCTAGTCGCACTTTATGATAATACGGACGTCATAACGTATCAAGACTAGTACGTACGAGATGAGATAGTTGCGTCTCATAGACTATAGGTATTGTGATATCTTAATCTGTACGTAGGTGCATATTATATTGATAATATGTGACTGGATTGACCCATCTTGAGAATACTGCATGGATCTACAGTAATGTGTTTATCAGTATTCTCAAATCGACCTTGCTATAACTATCCTCAGACTTGAAGTTATTACATTCTCTGATATGTGGGGCCGTATGCTTTGATTCATAACTAATGCTATCTGAAATACTGGTAGACGTACAGTTATGC